ATAGCGAAGCACGCCCACCGACTGGCAGATGAGCTCACCTAGCTATGTGCTTCAATTCGTTGTGAGTAACTAGATTGATTCGAAGCATGGCACTCACCTGAGAAGGTCGAAGAAGAATCACGTCTCCTTCGACAAGAAGCAGTCTCGGCACGGCGACCACGTTGCCGTCACGAAGCGCTGTCTGCGTCAGCATATCATTCGCTAACGGCTCACCCAATGGAGCATAGGCAAATGGAGTCGTTGAGATCTGCAACTGCCAAAAGATCACGCAGAACTCAAATCCTGTGAGAAATTGATATAGGGGAGTTCGCAGTGTCACTTACATTGGAAACATAGTCGAGCGCTTCTGATGCCTTTCGTTTCTTCTCTTCCAACGACGCCTTACATAACTTCCATTGCATGTAGTGTGCTGCTAGCAGAAAAATCAAATGGAAAGCCGCCAGCAAAAGCAGTGCGACGGACAACTGGTTTTCGCTGGAAAAAGATCAAATTTCATTGTGAGTTGAATTCCATTAATTTTCTTCGTCTGCAAGAAGGATGGATGTACTGGCCAGCTTTTCCCACGATGCGCCATGCATGCGAGTCCCACTCTGAATCTTTTGGTTTCGAATGAGATATGGTCTGCGAGGAGAACTAGCTGATGTAGAGTTCACCGCAATATGTGTCCAAAACGTAGCTACTATTGTGTAAGGAGGAATTCACGATAAGAACGAAGGTCAAAGAAGGAAAATTGCATAGTTGGGAGACAGGCGGACCTCCTGAGGGTGCTGACCGACGCGCAATTGGCAGCGAAAGATTTGACCTCGGCGATCTAGCATGGCTCACTCTTGGCGCGGTTGGCGGGGTACGCCCACCGACTATCTAATCACTCGCCGCAGGTCTATACGTGGCGAGTGATTAGATAGCAGAGAGAGCGTAGTGTTGAAGAGGGCACAGCGATGAGAGTCGCATCAATGCGCAAATCAACGGGCAAGGAAGGGGTCCCATTTCTCGGGTTTCGGGCCGTTTCAATGGTTTCTTCTTCATCCCTGCTCCACTGACCACCTCTACCCTTATTTCCAATGAGCTAACTTTTCATCGTAAATTCTGCCTTCAAAGCGATGATCACGAGGGCTGGAGGGGGTGTGGTTCTGATGACATCATTGAATTTCATCGGTGGAAGGACGTTAAGGGGTGGTCGCAACCACACCCCCAGCGTCCTGGAAGGTCCAGGCTGCAGTGGCGTTCAAAGACGTTATAGGTCTTCAGCCTTTCAGCCAAGCTGACGTTTGCCTTTAAGCCCGGAAAAACTAAAGCTTGAGGACATTTTGACCTGAGCTGAATGATCCAAATAGGGTCTGTTTCAGTTCTTCTCCTCAGGTCAAGTTACCCAAAATTAGGATTCCACTCATTTACTTGTAGCAAGCCTAAGATTGAGCCTGCCCCGATGATAGGCTTAAGTATAAGCCATCCGTGGTGATAATTCGTTTGGTAAGTGCACAAGTTAAGGACTGGGTGGCCCTAAAAGTTGATTGAAGATTTTGCTGATAAACTATGTTGTTTGGCTCCCCCGTCTATCCTCTTGGAGCTCAAAGCGAAATTGATTGCCAGGTGTTGAGTTGTCAGCGGACGTCGCTGCTTGCGTCATAACTGCGATCTGGGAGTAGGAACAGGATCTCATGACGGGCTTTTTCATCTACTCAAGATGGAGGGCAGATTGCTCAAATGTCACGTTTTGAACACGATCCGTCAGCGGAGTCTTGCCTCGCGATCCCAATGTTACCTTCTAAGCGCGGAATTATGTTTTCACCACCAGATCTGAGTTACTAATGGCGATTGGGATCGCGACAGGATTCTTAGAATAGTTCTTTTCTTGGGTGAAGTAACAAGTTCCCAATCACA